CTTGCTTTCAGGGATCCAGAAAATAGTCTCTTACAAAATTTGAAAGATGTTTTAGAAATTGATTTTCCAGCTCGTGCTATCCTGGAAAAATCTGTAAGTTTTATCAGTGCTTTGATATTCCAGACAGCATTGCATAATGAAATTTAAAGGCTGCTTTCAGAGAAAAATGAGTCAGAAAAGTCAAGGAATTCAAAGAATGTTATAGTATAGACTTTGAACTACAAGTAACAGTTGTGTCAAAGAACTTGTTAGCCTTTGAGTTGGTGGTTATCAGTACAGTCAACCCTTGGTATATGCTGGGGATTGGTTCCGGGATCACCCGCGGATAACAAAATCCACACATACTCAAATTCCACAGTCACCCTGCAGAACCCCCAGATATGCAGGTTTCACGTATATGTGGGTTCCACATGCCGCCAATACTGTGTTTTTGATGTGTTTGGTTGAAAACAATCCACAAATAAGTGAGCCCACGCAGTTCAAACCTCTGTTGTTCATAGGTCAACTGGATACTTTTCATGGTCTTCAGCAGTGTTTAATGACAGATACTTATTATTAATAATAAGGAAAAAGGTCCAAAGTAGCTAATGAGATGTTTGGATTTTCTATACTATCTTCTTATGGATGGCTGAAATAAAATTCTGATTAGTTTGATATAAGCATTTGTGAAGGATGGTAGTACAGTCTTACAAAATTGATTAGACACCACTCCCTCGCAAAAATGATAGAATTGATTTTTGACACAGTTGCTAAGGTTGCAGAATACTAAGTGGTGGTAATGTTTTTCTCTTTCCTTTAGTTACAGAATTTCACAGTTTACTAATCACGAATGTCAATTTCTATCTTTACATACTACAGGGACATTGATGTATATCTGTGTATATTTATTGAATGAAAAGGAAATGCTCTTCGTTACAAATAGCTTTGCTAAACAGTGACGTATTTCCTGTAATACAGCAAAATAGTTACCTTTATAAAAACTATTAATATATTTATAAAATTTCAGTATTGTATCATTATTCATTCTTCCTATTCTCACCTTGTATATTTTAAACACACATACTATACCGCATATTTCAAAATAGCTAGAAGAAAGGAATCGTAATGTTCCCAACACAAAGATAAATGTTTGAGGTGATGGATATCCCAGTTATCTTGATTTGATCATTACACATTGTATAGATGTATCAAAATATCCCATGTACTCCCAAAATATGTACAAGTATATCAATAAAAAATAATAAAGTAAAAACACACATGTGCTTATAACTATTTTTCTTTTGAAGGCTTTTACTATGGATTGTGGAATTTGTTATGCTTATCAACTTGATGGTGCCATTCCTGATCAAGTATGTGATAATTCCCAGTGTGGACAACCTTTCCATCAAATATGCTTATATGAGGTAAAAAATAAAAAATAACATCAACAAGGCTTTTTTTCAGCTAACACAACATAGGTTGTATGCATATACAAAATACATAGAATTTAAAATCTGCTTAAGTCAATAGTGATCTCCTCTTTTGCCATTAACGCCTTTTACTAGTTTATTCCAGATGATCATGTGCTTCATATTTTCATCATAGTTACTAATGAGTAAAGAAAAGTCCTCAAGTATCCAAGAAGGGGGAAAATCTATCCTGAATATATTCATAGACTAACTTATTGACACATAAGTTAAATTGATGGTACATTGGAATTTTTCCATAATTGTCTTATGTTACCACAATGCAAACTCCATAGCTTCATCCATGTGGGGGTGGTGGTAGCAATAACGTGAAAGGGAATTAGCAATTATGTAGTAGCTTATTACTTTTCAGGATACATTCAAGTATAGAATAAATGCAATAATCCTACTTTTGATATTTCAAAAAATGCCTTTTGTGATCTGAACATCTTATGGTACTCTTAGGCATTGCCGTTAACTATTTATTTACTATATGTGAAGTCTGCTTTCATTCCTGCCTTTAGTCATTTGCTCTCTATAGCACTCATCTTAGGGCACAGTGGATACACGATTAACTGTGCATCTATATACAAAACACCTTGCAGTTGTATGCTTTCGGTGTCTTCTGTAATATCACCTCTTTACTTTTGTGATTAGAGATAGCAGTTGGTACTATCTGTACCTTACCAATGGATAACTTAGGGAGAGACATCAAATTTACCTTATATAATATCATAAAATATCAGATCTAATTACAGAATATTCTAGGGAACATGTGCTTTCTTTTGTAGTAATGAATATTCATTTAATTTTTTTAGAATTGACTGCCTCATATTTGTAATGAATGGATTGAGAATTAACCCACTGTTAGTGATTAAGACTGAACTAAGACCTAAATTTTCAGGAGCCTATGGTATCTTTTACTGTAGGAGTTCTTAATTTGTGATTAATGGATTTAGGGAAGGTCTGTGAACCCCAGGAACTCGTATGCATTGTTTCTGTACATATCTGCTTTGGGGGTAGAGAAGGGGCATAGCTGTCATCACATTCTTTAGGGGCCCATAATTTAGTTATAAACCAGTGGGTTAGCTCTCAAATTCCACGTTGCTTTCCCCTTGTTATTCAGCATACTAATATCCGGTGTTGGCTCAGGAAATACACTCCTTAGTCTTACAAAACAAAATTAAGAAAGTAAATCTGGAATAAAAATATAGTGCACTTAAAAAGAAAGGAAATGACATTTGGAGTATCTAATTTGTAATTATACTGACACTGTTCCTTTTCTTTTAAAAATCTTCAGTGGTTGAGAGGACTACTGACTAGTAGACAGAGCTTTAACATCATATTTGGTGAATGCCCATATTGTAGTAAGGTAAGCAAATTGTTAAAGCACATTTCAGAGAATGTGCCTAGCTTTTAGTAATGTGTTTTATAAGATAGATGGATATCAGTTTATCTAAAACCTTTGAAACATGTTCTTTCCTGTCTTTTAAAAAAAATAGAAGTTTTCTGTAAAATAAATTGTCTTCAGCATTAATACTTTTTAATTTACAGTTTTCTCTTGATAAAAAAATTAAACTTTTCTAGATTTCCTAGATGATCTAAACTTTAGAAAAATATTTTCCAAACTGTACATTTCTAGTATAAGGTAATTTTATTTTTTAGAGTGTCTTTATTAAGATATATGCTCTTCTTTAAGCCAATTACCTTGAAAATGTCTGAGAGGAAACCCTGAAACAAGGATATCATTTGCTATCTTCAGAGAAAATATAAAGCAAGACATACTAACACCAAAAGGACAAGTATGGTGAAGCCATAATAATATACATCTGCCTTTATCTCTTCACTAAGAGTAAACTGAGAAATTGTAGACCAAAGTCTTGTAGAACTTTCTAAGTCTTTGATCCCTGTACTAATTGTGGGAGTGTATTTATACCAAGATGGAGATCTTGACTTACTGAACACATCTGGACTGGGAAAATCCTGATGAGGTTCATAAAATGAATTTGGGAATTGTATATAGCTGAATTTTTGTGGGAAATGGTTTACGTCATTCAAAAGTTCTTGAGACTCTTGGTATTTTTGTCTTCTCCTTGTGCTTTCCTGTGGAAAAAATACAGTTATTTATTTTGTGTACTCTGCTAAATAAAATTTGTTATACAAGATCAAGTTTTTGTGTTTTTTATTTTTCCTGAGAAGTAATTTTTAGGTAAAGATCTTGGATTTTGGCCAGGGTTGGTGGCTCACACCTATAATCCTAGCACTCTGGGAGGCCGAGGCAGGAGGATTGCTTGAGCTCGGGAGTTCAAGACCAACCTAAGCAAGAGCGAGTCCCCCATCTCTACTAAAAATACAAAAATTAGCTGGGCATCTTGGCATGTGCCTGTAGTCCCAGCTACTCAGGAGGCTGATGGAGGAGGAGCACCTGAGCCCAGGAGTTTGAGGTTTCAGTGAGCTACGGTGATGGCACTGCACTCTACCCAGGGTGACAGAGCAAAACTCTCAGGAAAAAAAAGTAATCTTGGATTTTAAATTTATAAATTACCTACTGGCATCCAACAACCAAGTCTGGCTAACTTGAGTGGTTCTTTTTAAACCATATAAGTGGGCCATCTCTTAAATTATACTCTAGGATATAATACAGAAAGTAAATTTTCTTGGCAAAACCACAAAACTGGGCTTAATCTTATTAGAGTAAGATAGTCATAATTAGAAAGCTCTTGACCATTAATATGATTCTGAACCTTTGGTACACATTGGCAACTTACAGTGAGTAAAGGACAAGGCTATACACAAAGAAAACTGCCTCAGGGGTGGGTATAGTGTCATGTCTCTTGGAAATCCATAGCTACAGACCAACCACTGTAGACAATAGATATTAATATAAAACTAATTGGTTACTTATATGCAAATTTCAGAAGCTACTTCAGTGTTTTGATCATCATTCCTGTCGGCCTAAGTCCCAGGAATCAGTTTCCTGCTCACCACTGTAACTGGCTGGCAAGTTAAGAGTAGTTCTGTTTCTGTTTCACTTTGGTGGTCTCTGGCATAAATGGTACTCTCCTTGTACCATTTATCAAGTATCTTAGAAGAAGGAAAATTTATAAAACAAAATATTTTAATTTTGCTCACTGTTAGTTCCATCCAGAAACATGTGTTGCTGCAACACCATCATTCTTCATGGTAGCTATTACCCCCTCAACCTCTAAATTGCTACCCTTCAAACGTCCTTCCTCCCCACCAAAAGTCACTTTCTGGATGCAGTTTTAGAAGCGTCAAAAAAGATTCCGGCCAGGCGCGGTGGCTCACGCCTGTAATCCTATCTCTCTGGGAGGCCGAGGTGGGCGGATCGTTTGAGCTCAGGAGTTTGAGACCAGCTTGAGCAAGAGCGAGACCCCTGTCTCTACTAAAAATAGAAAGAAATTGGCCGGGCGCGGTGGCTCACGCCTGTAATCCTAGCTCTCTGGGAGGCCGAGGCGGGCGGATTGTTTGAGCTCAGGAGTTCGAGACCAGCCTGAGCAAGAGCGAGACCCCGTCTCTACTAAAAATAGAAAGAAATTAATCAGACAACTAAAAATATATAGAAAAAATTAGCCGGGCATGGTGGCGCATGCCTGTAGTCCCAGCTACTCGGGAGGCTGAGGCAGAAGGATCGCTTGAGCCCAGGAGTTTGAGGTTGCTGTGAGCTAGGATGACGCCACGGTACTCGAGCCCGGGCAACACAGTGAGACTCTGTCTCAAAAAAAAAAAAAAAAGCTTCCTACAAATGATACATAAAACAAAAGATGTCTGAAGGCTCTTTAGCTTTCCTATTAAAAAGAAATAAATTACTTGAGAATCAGGTACCTAACTTTAAACTACTCTTTGCTGTCTGAGCTAACAAAGTCACATTAATGCAATTTTCCTGAAGTTTGTCATCTTTATTCACTAAACGCAAAAGAAGTGAATAATTATTCCAGTGGACCCATAAAACATTTTCCCACAAAGAAAAAGAATTATGCCATCAAATCATATATTTCTAAAGGATAAGCTAACAATATAACTTACATGTGGAAGATTTGGAAATATCTCCACCTAGGTAAGAACAGAAGTCAAGCTACTATGATTTCCAGAATCATCTACTAGGTAACCTAAACACCTTGTCTCTCTTTAAGCAACAACAAATGCCATCAAATGGGAAGGCATTCATTGAGGAATTTAACTACCAGCTGTCTTCAGTATACTGAGAGGTATGATTGGGAAAGATAACTATAACAGGAATGGGCAAAATTTGGCTCATTGGCCAGTTGCCTGTTTTGTGAATAAAATTTTATTGGAATACAGCCACACCCATTTGTTTTTGTATTGTCTATGGCTGCTTTTGCATTGCAGTGGCTGAGTTGAATACTTTAGACAAAAACCATGTGGACTGTAAGCCTCAAGTATTTTACCTGGCCCTTTAAGAAAAACTTTGCTGGCCTCTGGTATATGGCATTGTTTTACGAACGTTAGAAAGCATACAGATCATCATATCTTGTTAAAATGCAGATCTCATTCAAAAGGTCTGGGTTGAGACCTGAGATTCTGTGTTTCTAAGAAGCTCCAGATGATACCAGTATAGCTGGTTTGCACACTACACTTACACGATGCAATAATCTATTCTACTACAGCATCCCAGGTTCTCAGTCTGGGATGATTTTGCCTCACGGTGACATTTAGCAATTTCTGAACACATTTTGGGTTATCCCACTGGAAGGCAGTACTATTGGCATCTAGTGGATAAATAACCGAGAGTGCTGCTAAACATCGTACAACACAGGAAAGTTCCCCCAACAAATAATAACCCAGTCCAAGGTGCCAATAGTGCTGCTGTCAAGAAACCCTGCATTAGTGCAGTTATTAACCTTGAATGCACATTAGAATCAACTGGGAAGCTGTGAAAAATATCAATACCACTTTTGGCCATGAATAATAGTTGTCAGACTTCCCCTCCTGCTGTAAAAGCCCATGAAATAAATACAAAACAATAAAATTAGACAAAATATATGGAATAACTTATAAGGTGCCTAAAACAAACAAGGCTATGATACTTGAGGAAACAAGAATAACCCGGACCTCAGAAAGGCCACATTGAAGATTATATAAGACTATTATACATAAGACCCAGGAAATGGGACCTATAACCAGGAGAGAACAATAACAAGACTCAGAGATGACCCAGATAGAATTATCAAATAAGGACTATAAAACATCTACATAAATGTTCAAGGAATTAAAGGAAAAGTTGAGCATAATTAGTGAACAGATGGGGGATTCTCAGAGAAATGAGAAATATAATGTACTTCTGGAACTGAAAAATACAATGTATAAAATGAAAAATTCATTGGCAAGGTTTTATCAGCTGATTTGACAATCAACCAGAGGTCACGCAAAAGAAAATACCCAAAAAAGACGTATAGGAAGACAAAAGACTGATTTAAAAAATAGATAGTGCCTCAGTTGTCTGTGAAAAAGGTAAAGCATTCTAACATACATGTATTTGAATCTCAGAAGAAGAAGAATTAAGGCAGTAAACAAATTGATGAAATCATAGCTGAAAACTTTTCTAAATTGATGACAAATATCAAATCATAGATAAAAGCAGCTCAATGACCCCTAAGTGCAATAAACAAAGACAACCATCCTTAGAAAACCAAAAGTAAAAAGCAAAAGCAGCTAGAGAGAGATACATTATATACAGGGTCAATAATAAGAGTAAGTGCTAACTTCTTATCAGAAAAAAAACCTAAGATGACAGGGTAAAAACATCTTTAAAGTTCTGAAAGAAAAATTTCATACTCAATGAAGGCTTCGAAATAAAGTGAGGGCCATCTAGTTTCAGACAAGAAAGAGTAAGTACATTCCACCCTATTCCTCCTGCCAATTACAACTAAAGACTTGGGCAAAAAGCAACTATCAGAACACTCTGAAAGTTGTAGAAAAGGCAGACTGGCTAGGGACCTCAGGACACAAGGAATTACCTACCCATGGATCCCCATCCTCCTTTCATTTTGGTGCCTCCTATGTATCCCAGCCTGGGCCATAAAGCAGCCTGGAAACAGCAATATACACAGACAGGAAAAAAAAAAAAAAGCCCAAGAAAAGCCTGCTCTACCTAACCAATAGCCGTGGGGGAGGGCAGGTCTACAGGACAGCATCCTTTTGACTATACCTACTGTACTCTAGGTAAACACCATGAAAGAAACTGTACCTTTTCCCCGTCTCTCCAGGTGCTGTGGAAACTGTAGGGTGGAATACTATCAACTATCATCACCCTGCACTAACCAGGGAATACACCTGCCCTTCCCCTTCAAGCACTCTGGAGACCGAAGTGGAGCCCTGTTGACCATCCCTGTGCTAATTAAGGTGGTAACCTATCCTACCTACCAGTGTTGGGGAAATTGTGAGACAGAGGCCTATCAACCATTTCCAGCCTGCGCCACTGAGGTGGCCTCCCTCCGTCCCTCCCCACCAGATACTACAGAGGCTATAGGGCAGAGCCTTACAGACTATCCCTCTCTGCACTAACACAAGCAAAAGTGGTGCCTCTCTTCCTCCCCACAGGGCACTGTAGAGAGACTGCAGTAGAGTCCTACCAACCACTCCCACCCTGCACTAAGCAAACACCAGCAGATAGACAGCACCCTCTACTTCCCACTGCCTCAAAGACTGTGGAAAGGAGCTTGCCCTTAATTATCCCTGCTATGCATTAAACAAATAGCAAAGAGGCAGCACCTTACACTTTCCTAACTGGAAAACCCTGTTCTTAGTAAATGATAGAACTACCAGAGAGAAAATCAGCAAGGATAGAGAAGAAATTAGTAACACCACAAACCAATGGGATCTAACTGATATTTATAGAACACTCTACCCCAAAACAGAAAAATACATGTTCTTTTCAACTGTAACTCAAACATTCACCAGATAAATCATGTCCTGGGTCACAAAACAAACCCTTAAAATATTTATGTTCTTAGACCATAATATAATCAAACTAGAAATCAGGAACATAAAGATAACAGAAAAATCTTTAAACACTTGACAATTAAACAACATACTTCTAAATAATTAAGATATTAAAAGAA